GGCACTGTGGTCTAAACCACAGTGGGCTTGCTGATCAGAAGGTTGGAAGTTCGAATCCCCGCAACGGGGTGACCTCCCATTGCTCTGTCCCAGCTTCTGCCAACCTAGCAGTTTGAAAGTATGCCTGTGCAAGTAGATAAATAGGCACGCTGTGGCAGGAAGGTAAACGGCATTTCCGTGCATTCTGGTTTCCGTCACGGTGTTTCCCTTGTGTCAGATGCAGTCTAGTCCTGCTGGCCACATGACCCGGAAAGCTGTCTGTGGACAAACGCTGACTCCCTCATCCTGAAAGCAAGATGAGCACCACACCCCATAGTTGCCTTTGACTGGACTTAACCATCCAAGAGTCCTTTACCTATATTTTGTCAGCCAGGTCATAGAATCATAAAACCATTGAGTTGGAAGGGACCATTCCACCGTTAGTTGCAACCATGGAACTGTTGCATGTCACATGTCTGTTTACATATCAGCGAAGCTTGCAGGGAACTTCTGCTGTGTGCATAGCTTTTGCTTTTCCTGTTCTCTCTGAGAAGACAAAGAGAGAGGCAACATGTTTCTTTGTCCTGATTTATGATTAATAAATCCGTAGTTGTAGTATGCTTCCACAAGCCTCATGCCTATTCTGTGTGCGCAATTCGCTCTGCTGACATAGTGTGCCCTGGTTTTGAAGCCTGGGTCGCTGATTTACATCAGAGCAGAGGCTGATGGGTCTTCACAGGGACGGCTGGAAGGAGATGACCCAGCTGGGGCTAGCCAGCTAGCCTTGCAACCCTCTGCATGCCGACAATCCAACCCCCTGAAATGTAGGAATATGCAGCTGTCCCATATGGAGATTGAACCTGTAACCCTTGCATTATCGGCACCATGCTCTAACCAGTGACCTTTGTTGGGAGAGAGTGTCACCCTATTAATTCCCCTAGATTCACCAGGCTTTTAGTGGCTCATAGGTTCAATCATTTTCATTGTGTTGTTAATTTTATTTATGTAATTTATGAGATTTTATTTTATTCATTATGTAGTATGCTTCATATTTCATTTTTTTGGGGGGGGGTAAACCACCCTGTGCCCATTTTTAGTCTCTTAATAAAATAAAAGGAAACACAAAATATGGAGATGCATCCAACATAGCCAACAAACTTTCATCCAGTTTCATAATGATACTTTGGTAGTAGAAGCTCTAGGCATAGAAGAAAACATAATCGCAGCAGCCACATACAAAACCACCTCGTTCACGGCAATTCATGCCAGTGATGGCGTTTCAAACACACGTTGATGTGCTGCATCCTTAGAGCTACCAGGTATGAAAGTGAGCCATCCAAGAGTGGCAAGCTGGATGCAGCCAGCGACGGAACATATGCCCACGCTGCCCAGGGTGGACACGCTCCCGAGGGGGGCGTGGTGTGCTCCCGAGGTGGGATTGACGCGTGTTAGAATATTCTGTTCCACCTTAAATGGAACAGGCATGATTGTTGTATGTCACATGCCTGTTTACACTCCAGCCCAGCCCAGCCTGCTGGGAACTTCCGTTTGTGTGTAGCTTTTGCTTGTGCCTTCTTGCTTGGACACGAAAGGGGGAAGACATGTTTTTCCCTTTGTCCTGATGTATGCTGAATAAACTGCTTGTACATACGCTTTACATATGCCTCTATCTGCCCTTCCGTTGTGAAGAGTTTGTTTACTCTGCTGGCTGGCTTGCTCAGCTTCTGAAAGTTTTGATGCAGAGCCAAGGACTGGAGTTCGACCAGCAACCGGCCGGTGGGCTGGAGCCAGCTGGGGGCCTGCCAATTGCCCCCGTTCCCTTGGACGCACCCCAACAACGTGGATAGCCTATGGCTGGCATTCGGCACTCCACCCACCCGCAACTCCCAAGCATCCCCCTGTAGCGTTTGCCTCCTAGGTGGGTCATAAGGAAAGGGTTAAAATGGGTGTGATGTGATTGCCCAGTGGGAATGCAAGAGAGGAGTAAAAGTGAGAGTGGGAGGTTTTGAAAGTCAGTTGAGGTTTGGGGAGCTGAAGAAGGAAGAGGGAGGATTAGGTGTGGGTTGATAGAGTTGTATTGTGAGAGAGTGAGAGGAATTGTCAGGTGGAGTCAGATAGATAGTTGGGAATAATCAGTTTGAAGTTGTTAGGAACTAAGATCTAAGAAATTGACAAGAAAAATTAACTGAAACCATAAGCTTGTTCCTGCATTTAAAAATAAACTTGATTATTTGTTAATGTTAACAACTGACTGGACTCAGTGTGTCCCCGTGAGATACGGGGTGGTGGCAGTGGAAAAAGCAATCGCAGTGGTGGCACAGGGTCAATAGACCGTCAAACGGCCGGGGGCCCTGTGTGTGATCGCCACACCCCCAAGCTGTGAAAACGAGGGGGGAAGGGGGAAATGCCACTGGCAAAACAACACAGCTCCCCCCCCTTACCCCAATGGCTCAGGGTAGGCTTGGGAGTCGCGGGCAGGCAGCACACTGAATGTTACCCCCCTCAGCAAGGGTACCCGGGTCAGGCCGCCCCCGCCGCCTCCCCTTCCTATGCCCTTGGATGCAGCAAGCTGGAGAAATTGGTGCCAGCTCCCCTGCTCAGCTCTGAACAAGGAAGAGAAAGAGCAGTGCTGGTGTAGAACTTCAGACGCCGTCACATTCCGCTCAGCTTGAACAAATCTGAAATGTTTCCTTGAGGTGTGAAACAATTGGCCTTTGGAACTCCTCCCCTCTCCCTGGGAACAAGCTGCAATTGATCTATCACTCTTATCTTGAATGGGCTACAATTGCTCTGTAGACCTTACGTTGAACATGTGTGTCCTTTGGATACAGCACACTTTTCTTGCTTTTCAAGAGAAATAGGGTCCTTCCCTCCACCTGCGTTAATTGGAAGTGCTGATGAGCTGCGTACCTGGCAATGCTGTTTGCTCAGCTTTTCATAATTTATACTGTAGTCTCAATTAAACTTTATGGTAAACAGATGTAGCAAAATTGCGTTTGTTCATATTTCATATTCTCTCTTATCATTTCAGAAGGGGAGGGAAGCCGCTACTGACAGAGAAAGCAATCATGTGGGATTAGAGTCATATTGTATACAATGTGCTTTTCGGTTTTGAGCTTCTGTGGCTGTGTCAGATTCGCAGCAGGGGAAAAGAGATGTGAGGAGAGAATTCAGGCTAAACAAGGACAATATTTTGAGGCAAGATGATTATTCGCAGCAACAACAACAATGAAAAGGGAAAGAGAAAGGAAAGTAAGTCGGGCAGAGGATTTGGACGGTCTGAATAACACATCTCCTAGAGGACAATGATCTGCAGTGACTGGTTTGCAGGGTGAGGTGAGGGAAAAAATTGACCAGGGAGGCCCTTATCATAGGGATGGGTGGATCCAACAATTTGGGTGACAGCTAGATTTATCATAAATTATTTAACAGAATTTATATACCGCCTGATTGTAAAAAGCAACAACCTCTGAGCAGTTTTTTGGAGGGAGACTGTGTGCTGCTCAAGCTACTTGCTAACCCCACCTACTCCTCTACTTCTTATTAAACTGCACACATTCCTCCCACCTGGCTGGCATGACCATTGGGCAGAGGGAGGCAACTGCCTCAGGTGGCAGAAGCTGAGAGATGGCTGCAGCAGATGTCTTGGCCTGTCCTGACAGGGCTTTCTTGTGCCATCCACCCACCTGCCTCTGTCTTCATCTGCATCTCTCTCCAGCACTTCCCTTTCCCTCAGGGTCCAACACAGCTGCAATGGTGAAGCAGCTCTCAGAAGTCTGTTGTGATGCTGTATTTCACAGTGCCACCTGTAGTAGCCAAGTGAACTGCAACATGATGACAGCCATACCTTCTTATTATATACCGACAGAGAAATAGAAGGTTAAAATTTGTGTGCGTTTTTGGGTGTAATTCACCTAACATGCATTTTTGTATGCAATTTTCCCTACTATAGTGCACCTTTATACATTATTTTCACCTGTAGAAGCATTTTTGTTCCAACACACACTAGCATGCCATACATTATTCTGTTCTGAGAACTGCATTGCAGTATTTGGAGGATGTGTGTAAGTTGTTTTAAACTGTTGTTTAATAATGTGTTTTAATGTTGTAATCCACCCTGGGACTTTAGGATTAAGTGAGGGTAAAATGAATGAATGAATGAATGTAGCTGTGGTTTTTGGGAAGTGTGAATTAGGGAGGTTCCTACTAAAAGTTTTTTTTTACAATCAATCAGTATATAAATTTGATAAAATAAATAAATAAAATGAAACATATGGAGCTGTTGGATGGTTGCCTCCACCCAGACCAGTATTATCTAGCCAGATGATGGACCAGTGTCTTTCTATGGTTTCAAAAAAGAGTTCTTTCCCATATTTGATTTAAAGCTCATATTGTGCAGTGAGAAATTCACCCAGGATCCAAATTTTGGCACATTAACATTCAATCAGAATCTGAAGCAACTCATCTTCCAGCCAACATATCAGGTTGGGGAGTCACCCAGTTTGAAATCTTAAGGTGGGTCAAGCTCCAGAGTGTTTGTGCACGGGCAAAGGACAATCACAGTGTTTCCTAAACCAAAGGTCCAAGCATTAGGCTCCAGAAGATAAAGAGGCCAGCTGGATTGATATTCCCTGGCCACCCTAGATTGAGCTATCACAGGAAGTGGTTGGTGGTGAGTTGATGCCTCCCTTCATCTAATCCAGCCTTTCTCAACCTGTAGTTCCCCAGATGTTGTTGAACTACAACTCCCATCACCCCTAGCTAGCAAGGCCAGAGCTCAGGGATGATGGGAGTTGTAGTCCAACAACATCTGGGGACCCGCAGATTGAGAACCGCTGATCTAACCTAACCTGCTAACAACATGGGGCTAGTAGGGGCTTAGGCCAACCAGCTTACATAGTAATATAGTAAGCTGCCTTATACTGAGTCAGACCTTTGGTCCATTTAGGTCAGTATTGTCTACACTGACTGGCAGCAGCTATCCAGGGTTTCAGACAGGGGTCATTCCCAGCCCTTTCTGGAGGTGATAGTGATTGAACCTCAGCCCTTCTACATTCAAGGCAGATGCTTTGCCACTGAGCTATGGCACATGCCACCCCCAGATAAAGAAGGAATGTACCATAGCTCAGTGGCAGAGCATTGCTTAGATGGGTAACTGCTCCCAGTACCATCATAAATGCATAATTTAAAAAAGATGCCCAGTGGGACCCTTAACTAGTTAAATGCAGATCAGATTTGTAAAGAAATAAAGTTGTGGTCTATAATTAACCCACGGTATTGGACATCCATTGATGTCTTAATTCTGGGAGCAGAAGGGCAATTGGCTTAATGGCACATTATGTCCCCTGCCGAAAATCACAGTAGATTTGAACTGTTGTTACATCTCACACACCCCACTGCCTAAACTGCACTCCAGTTTCCTCAGCCGACTGCAACTACAGCTCTCCCCTTCCCCCTTCCCCACAATAAGTCTGACAATAGGCTTTCGAACCCTGTGGCTGTTTAAAACACTTATTTGCAACGCACAACATCCTCCCTTGCATGCAGACCATGGATATTTATGGCGTCCACATACAAATTCATGATATCAGCTTATGGTTATCTTTCTGAAGCCAGGGGGTTATAAAATTAGAAGCCTGGGCTTTATTTATACAGCAATATCCATAAACCTAAAATAATGCCATCATTTTTACGCACCGCATTCGGTGATGGAAGGGGGGGGAGAGAGAAAGAGACAAACAGCTGTTGCGATCCTTGTCTTTTTTCTCTCCCAGCCACAAGGCTCTCCTCCCCTGCTGTTGCTGACACTTTTCTCTTTATATAGCAGAGCATGATTGGCGATGCTCAAACTGCCCGGCACAAAGGCAGATCTGTTCCTCGGCTGTCCAATTACATTACATCATCTCTGTCATTAACGGCACCTCGCGTCAAAGTCCTATGAGTTACCTACTAGGGAGCAGGGTAGTTTAATGGCAAACGGTGGCCTCATGCAATTTGCTGCACGCATCGCCCCGTCTGACTCAGCAGCGGGATAACGCAACGTTTCCTGAGTTATCGCCCGCTCCTTAATCTTGTTTCTAGTGGCAACCAAATCAGCATGTATGGGCTTGGCGGCGCATGGCGTGTGCAGAACGGCTGAACCCTGAAACACCCCTCCCTTCTTACCCTCCCATCCATGTTGCATGAGGCGGCCACAGGAGATTCTGCTGAATTTTAAAAGCAAGTCGCCAAGAAATGCTTAGCGGTTCTTCATAAAAAGGCACTTGTCCTCGACACAAATGGCCCCATCGGGTGGCTCTCTGCAGCAGCCTGTGTAGCACCACAGAGAAGCTGTGGGGTGCCAAGCATCCAAACATCCGGAAGGGTCATAATATGCATCTTCTTCAACATGCATGCAGCTCGCTGGCATTTGCTACCTTTCCATGGAGGCGCAAGTTACAGCAACAGCCAAGGCGACATTCTTCCACCTTCGCCGCAGCAAGCAGTTGGTCCCTTACCTTTCCCACCCCGACCTGGCCACAGTGATCCATGCGATGGTCACCTCCAGGCTTGACTACTGTAATTCGCTCTACGCGGGGCTGCCCTTGAAGCTATCCCAGAAACTCCAGAGGGTGCAGAATGCTGCAGCGAGGCTCCTCATGGGGTCTCTGCCATGGGAGCATATTCACCCAGTGCTTTTCAAGCTGCACTGGCTCCCGGTGGAGTACAGGGTCAGATTTAAGGTGCTGGTTTAGACCTTTAAAGCCCTTCATGGCCTAGGACCCTCGTACCTACGGGACCACCTCTCCCGGTATGCCCCACAGAGAGCCTCAAGGTCCATAAATAGCAACATCCTAGAGGTCCCGGGCCCTAAGGAAGTTAGATTGGCTTCAACCAGAGCCAGGGCCTTTTCAACACTGGCTCCAGCCTGGTGGAACGCTCTGCCTCATGAGACCAGGGCCCTGCAGGATCTGGTTTCTTTCCACAGGGCCTGTAAGACAGAGTTGTTCTGCCTGACCTTTGGCTTGGAGCCAATTTGATTCCCTCCACCTCTTTCTTTTTTCTTTTTCTTTCTCCTCCTGCGATGAGGCTACATTTTAATATTTTAATGTTTCAATATTTTAATGTTGTATTTTAAATTTGTTTTTAAGCTGTATTCATTCAACTTGTTTTTATTATTGCTTGTTAGCCGCCCTGAGCCCAGCCTTGGCTGGGGAGGGCGGGGTATAAATTATTATTATTATTATTATTATTATTATTATTATTATTATTATCTGTTTTTGCCCCTGTACTGTGTAATGCCCTTCCCCCCTTTTACACGTGAAACAGCAGATTTATCTTGTCTCCCAGGCTTTATTTATTTATATACTAATAATTTATTATTTATACCCCGCCCATCTGGTTGGGCTTCCCCAGCACTCTGGGCGGCTTCCAAAAAAATATTAAAATACCGTAATACATCAGACATTAAAAGCTTCCCTAAACAGGGCTGCCTTCAGATGTCTTCTAAAAGTCTGGTAGTTGTTGTTCTCTTTGACATCTGGTGGGAGGGCGTTCCACAGGGCGGGTGCCACTACCGAGAAGGCCCTCTGCCTGGTTCCCTGTAACTTGGCTTCTCACAGCAAGGGAATCACCAGAAGGCCCTCGGCACTGGACCTCAGTGTCTGGGTAGAACCATTATTCCATTTATATCCCACCTTTTCCTCCAGGGAACTCAAGGTGGCTAACATGCTTCTCCCCATCCTCAATTGATTCCTACAACGATCCTGTGAGGTAGGCTAGGATGAGAGGCAGTGTCTGGCCTCAGGTGACCTTCATGGCCGGGGGGGATTTGAACCCTGGTCTCTCCCATGTCGTAGTCCAACACTCTCACCACAGCACCACACTGGCTTTCCCTAACCAATAAGATTGGATTCTGTTTTCACAAGTTAGACTCCCCTGGTGGTTCCCTTACTGCGAGAAGTGAGGTTACAGGGAACCAGGCAGAGGGAATTCTTGGTAGTGGCGCCCGCCCTGCAGAACGCCCTCCCATTAGATGCCAAGGAGATAAAGAACTACACAACTTTTAGAAGACATCTGAAGGCAGCCCTGTTTAGGGAAATTTTTAATGTTTTACGTTTTTGTATGTTTTTATATGTTCTGGAAGCTGCCCAGAGTGGCTGGGGAATCCCAGACAGATGTGCAGGGTATGAATAATAAAATCAAGTATTATTATTGCTACTATTATTATTTGTACTTTATTCAGTTTTATATGCTTCTGTGTCTTTTTGTACTGTCGTTTTATTCGTTTAGGTTGCATTTTTTTGTTTTAATGGATTTTTCTCCTGTTGTACGTAATGCACACCACTTTAGAGATTTTTTCTGAAGTGGTTCTAAAATGCCTTTAAATAAAATAAAACAATGCACCAAATGTTTACTAGAAACCAGTGTCCATTGGGACTGTTGGGGCAGAAGGAAGGGAACTCAAGAGTAAGTGGAGGCAGAGCCAGTATCAGGCAGAGTCAATGAATTCTAGTTTTGTACCCATCCTCCTGCCTGCTGAGTTGTACAGGGGCAACACTGAGACTAAGGAGAAATAATCTGAAAGGCAGTGGCACACCTGGGACTAGGACGCACCCAACCATAGGACGCACCTTGTTTTAGAGGGGAAGAACAAGAAAAAAATATCTCCCCCTCTCTGCTCAGCGCCGCTTCAGCAAAGTGGCAGGAGAAACGGAGCCCCTTCCATTTCTCCTCCCGCTTGGCTGAAGGAGTGCTGTGCAGCTCTCCCTCTCTGCTGAAGCCAGGAGAGTCTTGCTCTCCCGACTTCAGCAAAAGGAACCCGAAGCCTCCGGAGCGCAGCAGGAACTCGCACTGCGCTCCGAAAGCTTCAGGTGGCTATCCCTGAAGCTTGGAGAGTGAGAGGGGTCGGTGCGCACCGACCCCTCTCGCTCTCCAGGCTTCAGCAAAAGCAACACGAAGCCTCTGGAGCGCGGAGGGAGCGCTCCCTCTGCGCTTTGGAGGCTTCGCGTTCATATCGCTGAAGCCAAGGAGCCTGCATTCACTCCATAGGACGCACATACATTTCCTCTTAATTTTGGGAGGGGGAAAAGTGCGTCCTATAGAGCGAAAAATACGGTAAGTAGGAGGAGAAGGGTCTGGTTGAGGGCATACAATGGTTGGTGGGACAGCACCCTCTGCTTGTCCTAATGGACCAGGCTTCACTGCTAAAAATTGCACCAACTGGTTTGTCAGAATATCCCGACTGCCCTCCTGAATCTTTTCCTGGACATATTGCTCAGAGATGCTCACGTCCTTTGGTTATGTTCTCGTGACCAGTAGAGGCTGCTGCATCAGGACACAGACCCACCAACCTCCATCTGTCCTCAGCTAGCCTTCTCACATGCAATGAGCCCTGACTTTCAGCCACCCACCCTACTTAAGGCTCAATGTTGCCCTTGTGAAGCTCTGCAAGGAGGGCGATAAAGACTAAACTAGAATTAGTCAGCTCTGTCTGTCATTAACCCTGGCTCCACCTACTGTTCACCTCCCTGTCTTCTACCCTATGAGTCCCAGTGAGCAGAAACCACTAATGCCAACGAACAAGAACCTTTGGCTTTTGATAAATATGCTGTGCAGTTTTCATCTCTGCTGCTACAGTCGATTTCTGAAAAGCAGGGCATTATTCAGTTATCTGGCTGCAAAGTGCGCCAAGGGGCTTTACATCCTGCCTGCCATTGTCCAGGAAACACCGTGTCACTGATACCCAGAGTAAAATCCCCATCAATTCCCCCCCACCCCACCTGCTCTCAGATCTCTGTGCATTTGAGCAATTTATGGGTGATGTTGCATCTGCAGTTGCAAATCAATAATTGATCTCGGTTGCACCGGCTTCGCTTCCCAGTGCATCAGATTCACACAGCAATAAACAAAGTGATTAACCAAGTGTGGATTATTGGGGAGCTGGACTGAATACTAAACACACCATTTGCACATTGTGAGCATGATGACTTTGTCCTTCATGCATTAAAACAAGAAAAAACAACAACAACAGCAACACCACAAACAACAAAAGGGAGAAATTGTCAGCCAAACCTTCAGATGGATGTTCCCAATTAATAAATGACTC